GAGGGACTTGTCGTCTATGTACATACCGGCCAAGCACTCAGCAACACAAGCCTGAGGGAGAATGTGCTTGAAGTTCCGTTCGAAATCCGCGAAATTCGGAGGGAAGAAATCACAGCTGAAGTCTTTCTTCGTTTTGAGATAACTCAAGGTGGAGCAAATCACAAGGTGTCCCAACGAGTTCGTCGGTGGAGCTGGCTCGAACTTCGGTCGAAACTCGACGTTCTTCCCGAGAAGGATCCCGGCAACGAACGGTCTCACTACGCCACTTTCGTACGTCAACCACTTATCATCCTCTTCGGTCACTTGCTTTCCCGCTTGACGCCAAATATATCGGCATATGGAGTTCGAAGAGAACAACTGAGTTCCATCGCCGAAGTTATAGGTGGGAAAGTGGTTCAGATAGTGACCTCCATCGGATTCACAGAACGAAATTGATAATTCTGTTTTGGTGAATTCTGTCACAGCCTGAATCTTGCACAAATGCACGTTGTTTTTAGGAATACTGAGCGCCATACCGCACCGAGCTGCACTTCGTTCGCTTCCAAACAAACAACCGAAATGCGGTCGGGTTGGTGTCGGACGAGGGATATATCGTGTTGTTGGCTGCTGACACCGAAAATGATAGCTCATGAGCTTGACGGACGATTTTTATACTGAAGGAGAGGTGCGAGAAGCTCTCTCCCCTCGACCCCTTCTCAACGAACCCCCTGATTCTAAATGAGTATCAGGGGCAAGTACGCTGGAATGTTCGCCTGATCGAGGGCGCTGCACCAGAACGAGGTTCGAGTATACCCGCCGCGGTGCAGGCTCTCCCCCATCAATAAATTAGACTTTGGGTTGAATGCGTGGCTCGAATCAGGTGCTCATCGGAATCTTGAACAATCTGAGAGATTCCTTGAGTCGATTCTCTCGCGCCAAGACCTCCCCACGGGAGTCTCCAGACGCCCTTACATTGCGGCGTTGATCGGCCAATTTCGACTCCGGAGGCTTTCTAATGGCTTGAGACGTTCAATTAATAGATCCGTATGTCCGAGTCCAGACTGAGGATGGGGCTTCCAAGGACAATGCTTGACTTTGTTGCTCGCTCCAGCGAGAGCAATGCAGCCCACACCTTCGAGCCTGGAAACAGCTATCGAGGACGTGATCAAGAGGATTGTTGGCGTCTTGACCCACAGTATGACGGCGGCACTCAGACGGCGCTCTAAATCCTGGTTCGACTACGAGGGCTACATGGCCTTGACCACACTCGGGAGAGCCGCCAGAAGCAACCGAAGACCGAATCGCGCCGACTGAGTTGCCTCACTCCGAACTCCGAAGAATGTGCTTAACGCTCGTCCGCAACAAGAAAGAATACCGCCTGGGACTTCAGGACTCGAAGTTGATCGGACGGGCGGCTCGCCTCTCGCTTTATAGAGCTCCTGTGAACACAAACAATGCGGTAGAAAGTGATAACGCTTTTCTTAAGAGGGAACCGGGCGCCGACCCTCGAGTATGGGATCCGATGCGTGCGTATCCTTCACTTGGCAGTTTCTCTCACTCACAGGCGTGCTCTGGGGGGAGGGGTAGGTGGACCATGGCCCCCTAGATAGCCTCCCGTCCTTATCTTAAAGAACAGGACAGAGGGAGGCGCGTCATCTGTTGGCCCCGTCTCCATAGGCGAAACTGGATTCTACCCCCTCCCCCCCATGCCCCTCTTCTTCTGAGGAACTCTTCTTATCGGGCTGAGATGAAGGTAAGACATTAGCTCACATTTCCAGAGGTTTTGTACGGAATGGCTCAAGATGTGCCGATCGATCTAAAAGCATTAGCGAGCGGGGCATCCAAAATATTCGATCAGCGCCGAATCGCCCTACCCGAGTCCACGCGCAGAAGCTTCGTCTGTTCTGAGCTGAGCTTGATGCGGGGAGGATTTCGCCGATCGAACTTATCGAGCAAATCAAGTTCAGGCCGAGACGTGGTGAGACTTTCGCCGCCTTATCCCGCCTGCACTAATATCATTCTGAACGAAAATAGTACGCTTCACTGTAATCTTCCAGGCGCTGCTCCCGGCAGTTCACCTGCACTCGAGGCTATAGAAGATGAAGAAAGGGTGTTGAGTCCGACTGAGACCTAAAACCAGGCTCTCCTCTTTGATCACTTTTATAGCGCGATGTCAGCCGACGGCGACCATAGCTACAGTGTCCCTCCAACGTCTGCACAGCATTAGCTGCTCCGCAAGCCTTAGATCTAGGATCCCGTCAGTTAGAGGTGTCCAGCTAGGGGGAACGATGCCTCCGAAGATTTCGAGGGAACTGTTATTGATGAATGATATAATCGGAATGTCGGGTGAAAACCAGCCTCTTATTTGATCTAGGAATATCCCTATTGATATCGAATCATGTCAATCATTTTATCATTTGCGGCCTCGTATGTCGAGTTTGCCTGTTGTATCTCGAATGAAGGAACTCTACCGACCCAGAGGTATATCTTTTTCATTCTGAGGAAGCTAGGAGCGATCCATCTTCGGATGCCTTCTTCGAAAATCATCGATCCATGATCAGTTTCACTAGCTCTAGCGAAGCTCACCAGCTCCAGCACAAGGTATTTCGCGCTTCTCCCGCCCGCTGAAACGGCGGAGGCTCATACAGACACTCTCTCCGATGTCCGTCTGCTAGCTGCCACCGACTAGCACGGATGATTCCTACGACTTGGCTCAGATGAACGGTGTGATGAACGGTGGAACCTGCGAAGTGGAATTAGCGGTTAGATTGTGCAGACTTCGTCGCCTCTCCAACCGCCCGCTCATCTCTGACGAAGAAGAATGCATCCATCAGTGTAAACATGAAGGCTCTGTTTACTAAGAGTGTCCCGCTGGTGTGGCCGCCGCCAGTAGCCAGAGGCAAATAGAATGGTCCATCAACATGGCGACTTCTAGTGAAGATGAAGATCGTCTCGAAAATGAGCCCAAAACCACACAGGGGAATGACCCTGATGACGGTGAAGACAAGACGACTTTCAAAGAATTGGTGAGTGAACAGAATAATCCATTCTGCACAATGTCTCGCTGTGGAAGTCGATCTAAGCGCGCGCTTCTCGCCACCATAACAAACGCACGTGCTTCTCCACGGGCTCCACCGATAGATAACTCCAGATGGAGGAGGGGACGGCCCCTGACCCCCTGGGGCAGGAATCGCGACCACTTGACCTCATTACAACTCCTCCCGAGGAGATAGCATGGTGGTGAGTCTCACCATGCCCCTGCCGAAACACCTGATCCATCCGTCGGAGGTATTGACAACCGTGACGCACACTAGGGAGACCGTTTTAGTTTATAAGATGAGCGCTCTGTGCGATAAGGGATTCACGAAAGCCGAGTCGAGTCATTTTTCATTCTTCCTCCCAGTGGAGAAAGCCGCCAGCTACGAGACGACTTCCTTCGCTTAACGCTCTTGGTGAGATTGTAGGCATCTGAATCTAGTCATCTCTATCATTCGCTTCAGGGAGTTGTCGACGTTCTATGCGAGGCTTGCGAAGCGCTGAAATGGAGAACACCTTCGAAGATACAGAAGGAAGCGATACCCGTGGCTCTCCAGGGTCGGGATATCATCGGTCTCGCCGAGACAGGATCTGGGAAAACGGCGGCCTTCGCGTTGCCGATCCTACAAGCGCTCCTGGAGAACCCCGCTCGACTTTTCGCATTGATTCTGACCCCGACGAGAGAGTTAGCTTTCCAGATCTCTGAACAGTTCGAAGCTTTAGGTTCAACGATCGGCATCAAAAGCGGTGAGTCTACGGCTCAGGGCGGGGAGGAAGAGCCTAGGGAATTGGTGCAAGACTAATCTGCGTATCCGGGAGGATTGTATTCTGCTGCTGAACTACAAATCGGGATGGTCTCTTTACAGCTGTGATCGTCGGCGGAATCGATATGATGACTCAAGCGATGATGCTCGCCAAAAAGCCTCACGTCGTAATCGGTACGCCTAGAGAGATTTCTATCGGACTTCCCCACGCTTGTCCTCTGGAACGAATATCGCAAGTGCTAAGGATGAATCAAGCCCCCTTCCTGTCTTACAGCAACACCCGGCCGACTCATTGATCATCTAGAGAACACGAAGGGTTTCACTCTGAAAAATTTGAGATATCTCGTCATGGACGAGGCCGACCGAATCCTCAACATGGACTTCGAAGAAGAGGTCGACAAGATCCTTAAAGTCATTCCACGAGAGAATCGCCGGACTTATTTATATTCAGCAACGATGACGAAAAAAGTTGCAAAACTACAACGGGCTTCCCTCACCGATCCCGTCCGAGTCGAAGTGAGCACGAAATATCAAACCGTCGACAAGCTTCAACAGTATTATCTTTTCATTCCGGCGAAATACAAGGAGGTCCACCTCGTGCACCTACTGCAGGATTTGGCTGGGCAGAGTTTCATCGTTTTCTGCGCGACCTGTAACGGAACTCAGAAGCTAGCGCTCATGCTCAGAAATCTCGGTTTCACTGCCATACCCCTGCACGGACAGATGTCTCAGGCGAAACGTCTGGGCGCTCTGCAGAAATTCAAGGCCCAGGCTAGAAATATTCTCCTAGCCACGGACGTCGCAGCGCGAGGTCTCGATATTCCCCACGTTGACGTCGTCATCAACTACGATATCCCGACCCATTCAAAGGATTACATTCATCGAGTTGGGCGAACAGCCAGAGCCGGAAGATCCGGTAAAGCAGTGACTTTCGTGAGTCAGTATGACGTTGAGCTCTACCAACGTATCGAGCATCTGATCGGGAAACAACTACCGAAATACGACGTTCTTGAGCGTGAAGTTCTCGTTCTCGAAGAACGGGTTCAAGAGGCCCAGAGGTTCGCCAGACAGGAGATGAGAGAACTTGACGACAAGCGCAAAGATTCGAAAAAGAAAAAACGTGCCGATGACGATGACCGAGATGCCGAGAACGCGCCGGGTATGAAAAATAGGATGAAGAAATCGAAGCACAGGGAATGACATTTTTCTTTGTTGGCGCCGTTGATATTCGGCGGAATAAATTCACCATTTTCCAATCTATGTTCATTCCAATCATGGTTGCTTCTAATCCTCCCCCCCCCACCCTCCTCCCTCCATTGCCGTGCCGCTGCTCGGCATATTCGGAGATATCGTCAAGATAAGCATGCGCGATCTGATCAGCAATTAAGTACAAGGAAGGGAAGAAACATTCTCCACTATAAAAGCCGCCTGCATCGTGGCGAATATAAATCTGTTTATCACAATTAGCATTTCGACTTGATCGTCTGTAAATAATAGAAAATAGGGCTCTCTCCAATCAAAGGACTAGAAGTGAAGGAATTCAGGAGGGAATCGACTCCTGATTCGGACATCATCGAGCTCGACATGTCGATGATCTACGGATTGATTTTGCCCTGCAGCCATTTATCGCACATCTTGTACACGCTCGGTTGATGCAATTTCGTTGCTTGTTCTCGAATTTTCCTCACTGCTTCGACTTCACCAAAACGAACCGCCAGCATGTAGGCAGATCTCAGACGACCTGACTCGGTGTACGCAATGATCTGCAAGGTGTAGAAAAAACGGCGCCGCTGGTTACCCCGTGGCTTCGCCATTTCAATTCGTTGCCGATCACGGGTTAGGCTCCGAAGTACCTTATTCATGTCGTCCTTCACAAGCTTGAGAATGGAGTCGATTGCGCCGTTCAGCTTATCGGGATCCTGTGATTCTTTCTCCGCCAAATTGCTGATCACCGAAATGATAACCTTGTCCATATCGTACCGGTTGCTATTGTACCTATTTGGGAAAAGAACTTGGGCTCATTCCTTCAATTTTCATAGCCTCCGGCAGTCAGAGTTTCTCGATACAGCTCAGATCCAGCCTGGCTTGCGAATTCGCGGGGAGCGAGCAGAGCCCCGAAGCATGAACGCACCCTGATTGCTCGACGCAGGATGCCAAACGCTGAATTTCTTCCATGTTCACATCTCGACCTTCCCTGGAATAGTAGGCAACGACCTTGCCCAGAACCTCCATTCCTTCGAGCTGACATTCTTGGACTACTCGGAGACAGAGTCCGAATCCTTCCTCGACATTAGCGCCATTCAGGAGTATCTGTAAGGTTTCAAGTCAGACTAGAGGAATGAATGAGGAGAGATCTGTTCAGACTCTATACTTCGAAGAGAACTACGAGAGACAGGCTCCGATGTCATCCGACCCACCATAGCGGCCAGATCGTGCTTCTCGTTGGCTTTCCTTGAAAAGAGCGTCGGCAACAGTTTCTCGTCGCTGTCCAGATAAATCAAGCAGCCATCCTGGGCTTCTTCTCTGCGGGCGAGGAACTTGACCACATCGATCTGGAGTGCGACCGTGCTCAAGTGCCTTCGGAAGAAAAATCGAAGATAATCATTATCTGGAGCGGCACGACATCAGAGGGACCAGGTTCCCACGCCATGGCTCAATCTCCCCCCGCGAAACGTCGTCGGTTTATTGTGCTCACCGGTTGATCTCTTTGATTGGCATCGCCAAGCGGACCGATTTCGCGGTGTTACCCGAAATACTCAGAGAGAGAAACTTTTCCAAATGTTTCTTTGCTTCTGTCAAACGGCTGAGCTTCTCGGTCACAATCTCGCGAGCCGAGAGAGAAACGATTTCCCTTTCGAAGAAATTGATTGAAGTCATCGCGGCACGGACCCAATCCTCCATGAAAATTTGAATCCTGAAATTCGAGGCATCTCAGTTCGCGCACGCCATCGAAAGTATCGCAGCTCATCTGTCGAACGTCCGGCCAGAAGTACGTGGAAGGAGGGGGGGCGGGTGCGAGACTTGAAGCGAGACTTCCTGCACCCACCTGAACAAAGTATTCGTGAAATTATTCTTATCCAGATATCTACAAGATGATAGTAGATAGGTGCTGAAGGTCGTTAAGTAGTTGTGGTTCATCTTGATTGCGTCCAACAATGTTTCGAAGCGACCTGACCGGAGGCTCGGCATGAGAACTTGTTCGATGAAAACGTCATTATCACATCTGAAAAGGCCGACAAGTCAAGCTGGGCGTGCCGTCATATTCAGTGAAAAAGCCGTTCCGGAATCGAGCCCCTCGGCCCCTCTTTTCGCTGCCGACGGATAGCGAACCTCCGGTCCAAGCAATAGGCGAGAGCTCTGTCGAATTGTTCTCTGCGAATGAAGTATCCGACGATTGACGAGTGCGAGGCGAAGTTCTCAAGATAAAACCAACATTCTGACTGGACTGTGACCTCAAGATCCACGCTCTCCGCAACGAGATACTGAGCTCCCTCTGCGGAGAAAGAAGACTGGCTTTGAGAATGCGGATCGTTTGCGCCGCCGAATGCATGCACGAACGAACGATCGGAGAAGTGAGAGCGGTCGAAAGCGATTGCGTACTTTCTTTTATGTTTTTGAGGTTGGCGAGAGCGCAGAAAACTGCGGCAGCTTTGGTGATTCCGACGTAGGTCGCGTTTTGGAGAATGCTGAGGATATCTTTGAGTAGGGGACTCTCTGATTTGGAATTATTCAAATCTTGGGGCTTCTTCAAACAGTAGACCAATTTTTCCCTCGCTGCCGCCCAGTCCCCTGCCTGCAAGACGACGAGAAGGCGGTTCGGGTGAGAATGAGACACGAAGGAATCTTTCGCGCAGGTCGGTTTCGATAAGAACCCACCTTCAGTAGAGATAGACCCCATGCTGCGAGAACGACGTTCTTCTCCAGATTACACTTGGAAGATATTTCCACTGCCAACTGGAATCGCTCTGCTTCTACCAAACGATCCCGAAGCTTTCGATGGACATTCATCCAATCGTTCGATTCAGAGTTCTTCTGAGTTAGTAATTCTCTGAAATAAGCGGAGATGGATAATTTCTATTTTGATCTTGATCGACATGATTCAAATCTCAAGGAATTCACAATTTTTTGCCAGAAAACTCACTTCGGGATCAGGTCCTGACAGTTATCCTTGACTAGAAGCTTTAGGAGGTCGAGCGTCTGCAAGTACGAGTCGCACCATTCCAGGGAGTTTTGTTTGTTCTGTTGGAGGAGGTTGATTCTCGCTTTCATGAGCAGCGTTTGCAGCATCGCGATCACAAGACCGTAGTCGATCTCCGAGGGGAAAACGAGAAGCGCAACCAAACGATCGCAAAGCGACAGGATGAATTCGGCCGCTTTTTCTCCGTTCGAGTGACGGTCTAAAATCGACAAACACAAACTGACGCTTGGAGCTCTCTCGTACCAGAACACTCGTCTGGTGTTCTCGTTGAATTCGCGATTCTCGGCGTTCGTCGGAGCTTTCAAACGCCAAGTAGTCTCGACCTTCACAGGAGAAACTTTCTTCGACAGGGTGTTCGGAGTGAAGTTTTCAACGGCTTCCGTAGCTTCACTGATTTCTGGCTCGGTCGTCTGTACGAAACAGTCATCACAGACTCGAACAGGAACTTTCCCATAGCCTTCGAGCGGAAGTCGGCCTGGAAACGAGAGGAACGGGTTTTCGGGAGAGCTCCTCTCGATAGTACTCGGTACACAATTTTCCCTCTTTTCAGCGGATGGAAAAAGTGGCACCGGAGGGAATCATAGGGGAGACAGGGATAAATAATTTACCTCGGGATGAGCATTCTTTACAAACGATCCGCCCGCATCTCCGACAGTGGTGTTTGCGAACGAGGAGGGAGAACTTTGTCTGGCAGATCATGCACTTCGAAATCTCGTCGTCTCGGACCCATTCCTTCGCCGATGGTATTTTGAGGGGCATCACGAAGCTGCTGGACGATTGCGAGCGCTGCGAATATCAAGACACGACGGTGAGCCCTCTTCTAGCTCCAATCGCTTCCCCCGCTCGAGTATTTCACGATTCGATCGTATCTACTATGTTACAAACTCACAGCAGAAAGGGGCGCCATAGATTGTCTCCGATTAGCACTAGCGGTCATATTGTTGAGCTCTAGGGCTCTCTTGGCGAAAACCTCACACAGGGCATCGACCGTCGCGAAGAATTCTTGAGAGGCGAACTCGGAGGTATCTAGGATTTTCCCCAGGAGGTCCAGGTGGCCGTTCATCAAGAGAAGTTCGACGATTATCTCCGGATAACCTTCCAGATGATTGTACTCCCATCGTTGGACAGTGGGGATGACGAGGAGGGCCTCGAGACCCAGCGCTCGCGTCTCTAAGCGGGACACGAGCGAAGGTTCCTCCGAATATTTGTAGATCATGTATCGCAAAAGATAAAGTTTGCCTCTACTCGGAGACAGCTCGCCCAAGAGCCGCTGGCAGAAGTTGAGCCTCACGTCAGAGTCGGATATCTGGTCTACGATCCGGAGGCCGGAGACATAGTCCTCCTCGTGGGTTTGGGAGAAGTAGTAGCAAGCGTTCAGCTCGGTGACGACTTGCTGGAGCAACTCGTTGCGCTCGTCGACGAGCGACAGCATCGAGATTTTGTGAACGAAGTCGAAGCGGTTAGTCGATCTGAGCTTCTCGATCACTTGAGGTATGTCTCTGGGGATCGTCCTCCACTCGACATTGAGAAGCCGTCCGATCGACTGGTAGAGGTATATTCGCTCGATCTCGGTCGTGAGCTCCTTGTATCGGGGCTCAGTCTTCGCTACGAGACTTTTCAGCGCCTTCGAGCTCACTTCGATGTCTTTGTCATTCCAATCCATGTAGTTCGCGAGGAAGGCATCTACCTTCACAGAATCGGCCTCGATTCTCAGCACGTAACGGTAGGATGTTTTGGCGAGCTCTCCGATGATCAAATGTTTCAAATAAGATAGTTTGCGGTTGGAGACCTCACCCCCAGAGATCGCCTCACAGAGATCGATACACTGCAACATTCTGGATAGCGGGTCGCTCCAGCCCGTGGAGGCTTCGAGGAGCTGGAAAAAAGACACGGATGTTTATTCCTCGAACGGAAGCCCCGGACGCAGTCATCGATCCGTCGAACGAGACAAAGAGAGCGATACCGCGACGGTGGGAAACTTCGGCTGTCTGCTTTCCGCTACCGATAAGCGCTCCTACTCACATCCCAAATATCTTCGGCAACGGTTCCAGATAAAGCCGTTTTCTTGGCTTCGGGAAGCATTTCGAGTATTCGGTCCAACGCCGAGGATGCGGTCTCCACAGCGGGGTTTAGCATCGCTCCGATCGGAGAACAATGCTGTTCCATGTAACGCAGAACACTTGGCGGGACGTCAAGTTTGGTGCTCCGCTGACGTTCGCATAGATCCGAACATTGACCAAAAGGGTTCAAATTCAGACGAAACTTTTGGGGTTTTACGAACTCGATCGAGAAACCAGAGCCACCCACTGTGAAAGAAGGGACCTGTCAAATTTCGCTCCCCGTAGAGAAAACTTGGAATTGAAAATAAGTAGAGCTTCCCAGAACTCACTCTTGAGGATAGTCAGCTGAAGAACCTGTTTCTCGTTACTCCTGAAGAACTTGCCCTTCATGATCTCTTTGGTTTGCCACGGTACATACATCTGTGATCAGAGAGGGAGAACTTCTTATCGAAGCACTTGCCTCGATCGATGACATACATCATGTGGTACGTCGAGAATATATAAATTACCAACCTTCTTGTTCTCTACATCGACGTTGATCTTCAGAACAGCTCTGGAGAAACCCTCCTGCAGTTGGGTTTCAGTTTCCAAGACACGTAACGGTGGGTCATCTTGAAAACCTTGAACCAGTGAAAAAATGGTCAACATATTCGCGGGAGGCAGGAATCCGTAGTCAGGAACCTTCGCCAGCGACAACAAGGGAGGCTTCAGCTCTGGCAAGGAGTGCCCGCGGAAGAGGATCGAGTACTTCAGCTGCAACGTAAACGGGGACGTTCGTTCGGAATTCATCACAACAGGTGGATGGTTCTTCAGGCAGATCTTATCCGGGCAACAAATACCCGCTAAAAACAACCCTCGCTAAGATCTTACCCCCAGCAGTGAGACGGTTCCCATGTGACCGATTTCATACGCGTATAGGCTGTCGTCGATTTGACTCTCGAGTACATTCGTAACGAAGGGCTGTCCCCTTTTGCATTTGAACAGTAATCGATCCAACGTCAAACAATGGATAACATTGAGAAAAAACGGTATCCGCTCTTCAGTCTTGAGCTTGGTCGGATCGATGTTGATGAGTTCTCGGGTCGACTCCCGCCATCGATCATACTGAGCTGAGAACGCGATCTCCCGGAGACCATCGTACCTGGGGACAGAGTTGAACCGGTCAATTGGTGAGTGAGTTGTCCGTTGTCAAATTAAGCGAAACCGAGGAGGAAGGTTACACAACTCACTTCTCAATGAGTAATTTCCCAGCGGTTTTCTCGCCGAGAATGTCGATGATCTGGGACAGCAGCTTTTTCGCCACGAAAGCGGCGTTGCGCGAAATTTGCGTTTGCGATGGTTTGTGCGTGGAATTGGTCACTTTCATATCACAATTTAGGACACGGAGGTAGGGGAAATCGTGGAGGCTCATGGGTCTCATGTATATGTTCGGTAAAATCTGGAAAATCGCTATCGATAACAATGATATCGCCGAGAACGATGGAATTCTGGGGTTCATTCTGGAGGAGCAAGCACCCGCTCGACTGACATCACCGCTCACCTCTTTCGAGACGCATTGAGTTATGTTGAGCTTCATCTTCACAGCGAACTCCTCTAATTTGTTTGGCGGCACGTGATCGTGCAGAATGAGTTTCAACAGCGTCATCGAGGGAGAGCACTCCTCTAGAACGCTGAAATACGTCCTGTGTTGTGGCCCGACGTGTGCGCGGAGCGTGTGTTGTTTCTCCTCGAGAGCTTTATACACTTGACGAGCGTGTGCGTAGAGGGCACGGAGGAAGTCAAAGTTGTCTGGAAGCGCGAGTCTCCATTCGAATCGAGCGAGGGGAAACACCTCTTGGAAAATTATCGTTCTGTATGAGCCCGACACATATATCACGTACATGACGGTAAGCGTCGATGAAACTTCCGGATTCCAGTCCCAGTCATTTTCGCCAAACGAAAGAACTCTTGGTGAACTTCAGTATTCGCGCTCCCATGGGCCATATTCAACAAATTCCCGACGACTTCTATGGTCTTTTCCAAAGATGACCAGAAGAGTAACTCCTCTCTGAGCGTTTCTCCGTCGAGATGACTCGTCGATAATTGCAGAGTCTCTTCGAGAGGGATCTCCTGAGAATTTCAAATGGAACATTGAAAAATCCCACGCATGAAACAAAATCCCTTATAGACTCAGGGGTCGCTCTGCGGAATTCGTCATATGAGGAGTCGGCAAAGGATAGGGTCGCGTCACACGATGTTGCGAAACCAACCGTATCAGCTAGTTTCTCGCAAATTCGGTAGAGACTCGAGCCGGATCTATGGATGGCTTGGAGATCCGGATACGCGGCTGACGATGCTTCCCGTGAGATTCCGGTTGAATGCGCGAGCAGTTTGTAAGCGACAAAGGGACGGAGCCCGGAGATGAAAGCGAGATTCAAGTAAAAGCGACTCTGCGAAGACAGTGAGCTTAGATTTTCGGCCGAATCACTCGTCATCGCGTTCAATCGATTGCGGATGGAAGCGAGCCATCACTCACCAAATTACTCGAGTTCGCTGTAAGGGGTCGGGCTTGCAGGAACGATTCAATGGCAACGAATATTGCGCTTATGTTCTCCGGATCGGTCTGGAGGCTTAATACTTCTTCTTCTATGGAGCTTATCGAGAGGCAGAAGTCGAGCTCGGCACTATCCGCCATCTCTGAGTTTTTCAGGACAACAGCCTGCGGCGAGAGGAAAAAGGCACTCCGATATCGTTTGGAGCTCAGTTCTGAATATCGGATGAGTTTTCGAAGATACGAGTTTACTTTGAAGGAAAGGTTTCCAAAGGGAGCAGACCCGCTCTTACTTCTTTGGCTCGTTCGTAGCTGCTTTTCCACAAACAGTGTCTCATCAGAGCGTCCATTGTCGAGAGCATGAGCTCGATGACTGTCGCCTGCGGCGCGCGAGGCTCCAAATGAGCAGTGTGGGATTTGGTTCTTTGCCGAGCACTCCTCCGTCGAGTCCGAGGAGGAGTTGACAGAGAGCTGGAGCTTGAGCTCGAAGCATCTGTGGGGGATATCGAGGGTGAATCAATAGTACCTAAGATCACGCATGAAGTTCGGGAAATTCCCCGCATAGAATCGTTTGAGAGACTCCCTTCGCCCCACCTTCAGCCTCGATGTTCTGGACGCATTTTATGCTGAGCAGTAATTTTTCTTCAACGATCTCCAATCTCCATCTCGCGTCGACGACGTGCTTCAACAATTCCTCGAGTCGGCTCTGGAGAGCTCTTTCGTCGCTGAATTTCAATTTCGTAGACCTGATGTGCTTATCCAGGTGAATTAAAAGGGCTGAAATGAACTCCTTCGAGGCCAGGAATCCGCTCGACTTAAGGAAACTATTCGGCTCTTCAGAGGTTTCGAAGCGTGTCGAACTGACGGCGTCGTTCTCCTCGTCTGAGCTCTCTCCGTTCTGCTGTAAGTCCCGATGGGTAACGAAGAGAAGAGAGAAGAGATTTTCGAGAACTTCGACTTTCAGTGCATTGCTCGGTACTTCGCCGAGGATGCTGCTCATGGCCGCGAGCTCTTGCGTCACCAGTGTATCGAAGGAAACGTCGGGACCTGAAGTCGGTGTGGATCAGACTCCGTTAGAGAACCGGAACCGGGATTTTCTCTAAGAGGGAAGATTCTCTCTTTAAGGGAATATGCACCGTCGCTCCTCACCGTGTAAATCGATGTACTCGACGATGTCTTTGGTGGATTCGAAAATCAAGTCCTCTTGGGTACGCGGTCGGAAAACGGCATTGCGATCGACTCTCCGCTCCGCGATGAGGGCGGCGTGGAACAGAGCACTACACGCATGCTTCAGAATGAGGTATCCCCTCAACATGTGCGACTGATACTCTGAATGTCGAATTGACGGCGATCGTTACGGAGGAGTGATGAAATCGCGGGAGAAAGCGGTGCCAAGGAAAATCGGATGTTGACGCTCACCATCTTTAACGATGTGCAGAACTTGCGCATCCTTCATGCCTTTCAAAGCTCCCGTTGAGTGAACAACTCGGAGCAGACTTTGGGTTTGGCGCTGAGCGACTAGATCCAGCAAGGAATTTTTCGTCACCGATGATATGAGTCGGCATTCTCTCACGATCTCGGCGAGCCTGGAAGACGAATGGCAATGTCCGTGATCCATGGATCTCATTGGGTTCCCCCTGACCAGCTCCTTCTCATGCTAGATTCCCAATTTCGGGAGGGCAACTCGGGAGACTTTACCTCGATATCATCTCATCGTCCGCATAAAGTCTCTCGAGCTCATCGAGTCGATTGAAAACGGCTTCGGGCGGAAGCTGATTCCAGGCGAACTGCAACGCTAGCGGCCGCAGATTCAGTCCAGGAAGGTTTTCTGGCAATTTCTCATTCCTCTTGAGGGCAGCGATAGTCTCGTCCTGAAATTCCGAAACCTCTCACTGACGAAACTCGGTAGGAGACTACTGTTCATAAAAATCCCTTCGCATCTCTGCTCTTGAAGTCTGGCCCGAGTATCCTCACCAGATGCAATTCGAGGAAATGTTTCCCGAGAGCTCTGGCTCGACTCAGGATACATTCCTTCTCGCTGATTGCTCCGAGGAGTTCTTTCTGGAAGGACTTATGTTGGCAACCAATTGCCATCGACAGGAGCTTATCCGGTCTTCTCGGCAATACATGCTCCACCATACTGTTCGCGATGTCTCGGAGGATTCCAGCAGGTACTGTTTCGTGCGGAGGAGTGAACGCTACAAGCTCCTGCAGTTTTTCTATCAGTTGATCGACGCTCCATGCTGTGAAAGATGAAACAAAGAGGGCCTCTTCAGCGACGACGGAGAGCATCTGATATAATGATTGGGGATTGCGACGCCTTATCCTGAGCTTAGAACTTGAGTGTACCTGATGAAGCTTGTTGTAATTGAACACAGATCTGGAGAATGCACTCTAGAGGTACTTGAGGCAGACGTAACAAGTCGAGGATTACGAAAAGACTGATCGGGACTTGAGGTAGAAGACAACATTGTCGCAAGGCGTTCAAAACGCGTTGCTCGGGCTGGATCCCATGCGTGAAACTGTCCAGCAAGTGCTGTGAAGGAAAACATTCTCAATCGGAGCAGGGAAAAGCGATCCACCGATGAGAGTTTCGTGCGGGAGGACGATTCGAGTTCCAGGAGCCAGAATATGCATGATAACGTGTATAGAGTATTTTGATTTTTTCTTATGAACCTACAAACTTGATGTCTTCGCCTAGTTGCGTGACACCCCTGAGCGTGCTTCGGAAGGCCGCGTCTTTGGATAATTCATCATCTCCAATGCAACGAGCCGCGAGAAAAGACAAATGCTCTGGACTCCGGACGTTCTGCTGGAGACAGTAGCTGAAACCAATGTTCCACAGTAGGGATCGCACCAGACATCATCCCCTCGCCAATTACCATTTATAGGGACCATGGAGAAGGGACACAGATACCTGTTCAGATGCGGTTGGAGAGCGACACCTCTCAGGAGATCGTTGATGACATCCCTGTCGAGTTGAAACGTCACGAATGCTTCGACAACCTCCCATTGACCGAGAGCCAAATGAGTCTTGAATTCGGACAGGAGATCACTGTCCGCGGCGTACCGCCTATTCATGGCGCCCTGCGGAACGAAAGAAATGGTTCTCTCCATGTTCATCGGTGTAGAGAACTTCCCGGATCATCAGAGTGAGGAAGACATCACTCGCGGACTGAGGCACCGAGTCTCTTTGGGACTGCCAAAATTTCCGCCACGACTGAGCTTGGTCGAGCTCATGAGGGATTCCGAATAGGAAGCATGAGCCGATCCCCCAAAAATAATTCTCTGCTTAATCCCGAAAATCATGTGACTCAATTTAGCTCTCCTCTCTGGAATCAACGGCGCACGTCATTCGAAAAACTCACCCGAGAGAGTCTTGTCATGCTGGAATTCTCATTTCGAGACTTCACCCCTATCTGAGCAGTGGAACTCAATTTATAAGAAACTTCCTCCAAAACACCGCGTTCTCGACGACCATATGATTTTTGAAAACAAAATAGAGACTCAGTCAGCTGTTTGCTCCAACCTGCCCCCCGGCTCTCCCACTCTGAGGGGCGGCCATATTGGTAGAGGGCGCTGACAGCCAGCTGCGCGGCTTTCGAAACTCGAAGAATCATCGGTATGACAAACCCGAAAATTATCAGAGTTCTATCCACAGAGCCTCACAAGACTCCAACCCGAGGATTGCGGACCAAACTCTGGGCCCATGGCTGGGGATGTAAATTTTTCGCCAAATTCGCGGCCTTCATTGAAACTCTATGGGGAGTAGACGGAAATTTTCGCGAGAAATCGCGGAAAATCGCGGTCCGCGAAAAATTTACATCCCTACCCATGGCTTGTCCAAGAGCCAAAATTTCTACCTTCAACGAAGTCAGCTGATCCACATCTTCGATAGTGCTTGAGTTGCGCTCGGGCAACAAGGGCTTCGAGGAGACAGTCAGTGTCTGGACGCTTACATCAGATCAGGCTCACACGATCAGTCTAACGGGAACTCGTGTCCAACGTCACTTCGGACAACTTTTCGAGCGAGGCTTCGGTGAAATATTGTTTGAAGTCAGAGATAGCCTGTTGGTCCATCGGTAGGATTATCGGGGTTCTGTTCGACGTTGGGAACTTTATGGTGATGGAGTCGTGTTCTCCACTCACGAGATCTTGCCGTTTCAAGTGAGAGACACCGCCCTGTCGACCCATTCGATGGAAGAATTCACGCTCGGAGCGAAGATCTCGCATACCCGCTTTCGAAGGTTCCTCTGGAGACCTCTCTCTCCTTACTCGGTTTCAACAGAGCTTTGAGTCTTCTTTTGTCAACTTTCTCCTGCTCGTCAATCCCCACAGTCTCCGAATGATACACCAAAGGGGGCTCACATTCGAATAAGCCCTATTCTCCATAAATTTGTGACCAAGGACCGACTACGCTGCCAGTGCTTTCCCACAGCCAGTTGAGTCAGCCGCAGCTGTTAATCTATCCTCGCAATGCCCAAAGACTGAGGGAGCTTCCGAGCCGAATTCCACTCAGATTCCGATGAAGTTGTCGGGCTTTCGTACGGAGCATCTCTCCAGAAACTTTTTCATCCCGCAACTGCTTCCCATTCACCCACACAAGCCGAATTTCCGCCGTCTCGTTGATCCTGGACGACCGATTCGCTGCAAGCGTGCTGGTGCTGACGCCCTCGGCGGGTTTCACGTTCTCGAGCTTGTCTTTGTTGTGGAGGATCGTGACCATAGTCACGCCGTGCTGCCAGCATGAAGGGGCTCGAACCTTTCTGATTTTTCCCGGTCAGCTTTCTCTTGAAAGCTATCGACAAGCATCTTCGCTTGAATTTTCCTCCGTCCTTGATCGAGACATTTCTCTGGCGAGAATTCGAACGACGCATCGATGACTCAAATGATGCGAAAATTCGAGCATGCAGCATAGCAAGCGTACACGTGCCCGAAGGCGAGGTCCCCGGTCGACGCGCCGATTTCTCGATACGCCGGAAGGAGCTCTGAGAGATCATGGGCGGACCGGATCCATAGTGGCAAGACGAAGCTCCTCTGTCTAGAAATCGTTGGTCAATCGAATCCTCTTAGCTAAAGCATCGACGGTCAGATGTAGGGGGTCAGGTGAAGTTCGGCTCGGTGGGGCGATCGGAGGAGGCGTTTTTAGATGGCCTCTCGGAGTTCCTCCGATGAAGAGTTCCATCTCAAATATGATGATAATAATAATCCGCGCGCTTGAGATTTTACCCTCGCTCTCATACCGAAGTTCGTAAACACGGCTTGATTCATACACACACCGTTTTTAAGCGACGTGTCGATTTCACTGAAGACCCATTCCGAATACATTCAAATATATAACTATCAATTATAGTCATCCAGACAATTCTTCGGGTTCTCAGTCGTATGACCTAGAGCGGGAGGATGATTTCCCCCATCCCGCAGGGTCATTAAACTCTATTTCGATCGAGTAAGGGTGGCCCCCTGAGGGAAGGCAAGCGTAAAAGGTGGACACACTTCAGCTGCACCATCACTGTTCGGCGCTGGCAGCCGTCAACTCATCTGTTGCGGTGAAGCCGGCGCGGCGCTTGCTGCGAGTTCAATGTGACCGCTGAACCTCTGCGAAAATGACGGTTTCCGCCTCCCACCCAGGCTTGTGTCGAGGACCGTGAATCCCTGGAGCTTCATTCCCAAGAGCCGAGATTCTGACCTACCTTCGGACACTCTGAGAACCCTTTCCATAGACGAAAAACAATCCTTATCTCATCCGGAAGGAGACACGAAGCGCATCATCGGAGATCAAAATGAAGAGTTTCTGCATCGCTCTCATCTTGCTGCTTTTCGGCGGTGTCTTCGGATTCCATCATTTTTATCTTGGGAGAATTCGACATGGTATCCTCTACATGTTCACATTTGGCTGCTACGGATTCGGTGCGTTATACGATTTCATGCGATTGCGGCATTACGTTCGGTGGGCTAACTTCGATAAAGACTTCAAAGAAGAATATCTCGCAAAGATACGTCGGGACCCTGAACCGTCGTTGAGCGTAGGGCGCATGATGACCTTGATGTGTCTTCCTCAAGCTTTCGGAACAGTAGTCAGGTATGCTCTGCCGGAGGAGCTCTTGAACCCCTACGTCCACACTGCGCTCACGAGTCTGATCATGCCGTGCGCTGAGGCATTCGTCGTTTGGTTCGTCGGCAACATCGGCGAATACGAAGGGAACTTCAAAGACGCACTAAGAGGAGCTTTCTACGTTTTTCCACTTTATTTATTTTCTGCGACAAACACAACCGCCGACCTGATATGTGCCTTGGTTGCGCAGTACTTCTTCCGAAAGAACTGGAGGTACCGTCTTAAGCCCGAGCCGTCTCGACCTTTTCTCTACAACGTGGGGATCGTACTCTTCTTCTTCACAGTGTTCTCCCTGTTGTTCGTGTCGATGCTGATGTTCTCCTGTGAGATCGAGAAGGACGGCGAACAGATAAAATGCAGAGACGCCTTGCGGCGTTTCTTCACATCACCGCTCTGGCAAGACATTCTCACTTCGCTGAGGAGCATCAAGAACTCAATCGCAGAAGGAGGATGGGAAAACTTCCGAAATACTCTCGTGGGTTTGATGGATCCCACCGGAGAGCTTCACGCGTACAGAGTCTTAGGAGTCGACGGGAAAACATCGGATGATGACATAAGGAAAGCTTATCGTCAACTCTCGAAGCAGTACCATCCTGACAAGAACCTGCACAAGAACACCGCGGAAGCTGAGGAAGCCGAATACAAATTCATGGAGGTTCAAGAAGCTTTCGACATTCTGCAGCTGAGGAGGAGCAAACAAGCGGAGTCTGGGAGCGATTGACCTCGGAATACCTCCGTGATGTTTTCCGAAAAATGTTGAACATTTATCGCACGTAAGAGTTTTTAAATATGACAATCCTACCCTAGATGTATATGCTTGTAATAAATGAATTACAGGAGTTAGGCAACCTTGCTTCTATCTCTACCGGCTGACTGTACAGATTGTCGGCTACTCGGAGAAGAATGCTCCAGGTGCTGACGCGGAGGAAATCCGCGAAATCGGCGCCCTTGAGGCTCACAATCAGTCCTGGACAGCCAGACGGAATCGGCTCACCGAGTCCCGCATAATTAGACGACTTTGATTGGTATGGCATTCCAAAAGGACTATGGATGTCACATGCAGTTCTTTTCAAGACATAGTCGCCAGTGACTGACTGTTGTCGACCTGCGCGGATCAAGCTGCCGGTCTAACGAGGCTCGGGGAGCCCCGGGGCTGGACTCCGGGCTCGATGCCCATCAAATATCCTTTCCGGCGCGTTTTGAAGCATTCCGCGATTTCCCATACCCTAAAGCGCTGGATTGGACGAGGCGTCTCCGCGGGCGATATTCTCCGTTCTTCGGATAAACAGGTTCCGAAACATGATTTTTCTGCCGCTGATAGCCTCGAGTTATCCGTTCTTCTACTCTCGAGAGTCCGCATCCCCCCCCCCTTTCAAGGAGGAGCACGGGCAAACTTTGTAGGTTATCATCATCATTAATATTCGGAATAATAATAATAATAATAATAATAAGAGGAAAAATCATGACGATGGGGAGTTTCTCGGCGACGACCCGAATCAAATCGTGAGGCGCTCTTCGAAAGAAGGATCCAATCGGGGAGAGACTCCTTCGATGCCATCGGGTTGACTGTTGGAACACGTCGAGAGAGGATGGAGGAACACTCAGTGTGTCGGCACTCACGAATCGTCAGTCATTGGGTCGGTCGCGGACGATTCAGGCCTCAGCTTTAGGGATTTCAAGAGCTGTGAGCCACGCTCTTACAAGGAAGCGGCAGGCCCAGATGGGAAGCGCGGGAAAAATTCCCGTGGGCGGAATCCAGAAGATCCTTCTCGCTCAGAACCTCTTGAGCGAATAGGGACGGGACATATAGATCACCATGATGGGACGCCGGCATCGAGGATGGGAGCCGCGAGACCTTTTCACTATGTCGCCTGCTCTCCAGGATTGAGCCGCAAATAGTAGGCTTTCTGACCTGGAGTTCGGGGCTTGGCTGGCTCTACGAACCGAGAAGGAATGAGGCGGGAGATTTCCTGATCCACCGCCTTCAAGAGGTTGGGCTCCTTTCTCAGAGACTTGAGGAGTCCCTGAAGCCGCGAGTATGCTAGGTTTCTGTTATCGCCCGGCGTGTCTAAATTTTCTCTGAACGGTAGCGAGACCACAAACCTTCCCTCTGGCGGCATCCTGATTCATTCGAAGAGTCTCAAGAGCCGAGGACGTGGTCCGGAGCTTCACCAAGAAGGTGCCTTGTCCATCGGAACGCGAATTCTGCGTTCGGCGTCAGAGACCGAAATAACTCGCTTGAGCTCAACCTTTGCGGAAACGGAGGTGCGACGGATGAATGTTCCTTCGCACCCCTCGAAACTCCAAAAGAAGATCCGATGCTGTGAGTCGAAGTCCGTTGAGACCCGCTCTGAAGTTCCGGGATGCAAGTAGCACCAATTGAGAGCTCCGCGGGAGCCTTCTTGAGGATGATTTCAGCCTGGTCCGTGCCCTCGCGAGTCTCGCTCAGATTCTGGGGAGAAGTTATCTACATTGCGATATACTTATACCTAGGGTATCTCCTGAGCGATATCGCAAGACTGCGATTGAGCCGAAAAGCAACACGCTGGACGCTCGTCGTACCAGGTCTCGGCCTAATTTGTCCCCTATAAGGAGAAGTCCATTTTCAAAAGCGGGAGGCGTCCTTGCTCGCCGGGGGAGCATACTCGTGGCCTCGAGAGGGTCGATGGAAGCAGTGGGACATTCGAACATTCGGAAGTATCTGTCCGAGCGATGGAAGTTTGAAGCCGTCCACACTCTGAGATTTCATTTCGAGCTCCTTGGGCGTAGCGTACCACGAAGGAATCATTATTCAGCCGCCGTCTTAGTTTGAGTCTCCTCGTTCATTCAGGAGCCCATCGAGGTCGCCCCTGCGCCATGTAATCTTTTCTGAAATGCATTTCTTTGAGCCCCCTGCGTGGGGAGCTTCCCCATCAGGAGGGTTCTCCATCGAGAGCTTTTCCGGAAGGGGAATGGAACGCGGACTTTCCAAGAGCAACGAAGAAGCGCCTTCCCAGAACTCTTGCCTTCTTTCTTGTAATCAGACCCGACGTGCGTCGATTTCCGAGTTGAGGATGTCCGGGATACCGTGACACCATCCCTCTCTGCCTTGGTCTCCGTGACGGTGAAACGGAGCAGTGTGTATACCCGACCGAGCAAATTGCTAGAACCTAGGCAGGTTGAATCTCGGAGTGAACTCAATGGGGCATCTTTTCGATGGGGTCAATAAGATGTCCAGACACTGGGAGGAGAGAGCCGAGAGGATTTCTAGGAGGAGCGATCCGTTCCAGTTTACGCTCCTCTTTCAATCTATTGAAAGGCTGAAGACCTCATTCGGATTCCGCGCCGAGCGACGGCTCATGGAGAGGCTCTCCGCAAGTGGGACTGTGATTTCTGTTTGGCTCCGAGCTTTTAGGACTCCATGCGTTCGGTGGTGCGTAACTCACTGCCTAGATGGCGCACTCGTTCGCTCGTTCCCCGTGATCTGCTGAGCCTTCGATGTCGCCCCACAGGAGTTGCCATCCCGTGTTGAGCACTGCTGAAGGAATCGGGAGATTTGAATTTTTCACGCGCTTCGAAGAATTCTGGCTCATCAGCACGCCTGATCCTCGAGGACGGCATGCTAATTGAAAACTGTCAAAATTATCAGACTTCCATCGAATCTCTCAGGAGGAGCAGTAGTATGAGAGCTCAAATAGAAAACGTCGCCGGTTGCTGCCGACCACCTTAAGACGGTGGTTGTGTGGTGGGTGGACCAGCGAATATTGTCCAGCACCTTTCGCCTACAACCAGACAATAGGGTGGTTATGCGTCGCCGATATCGCCACTCCGTTGCAGTGAAGTCGATGCGGTCACCGGTCTCTTTCCAACGAGAGTCCTTGCTTCAGAAGGAAAGCGCGCGGTATCAGCCACCGGCTACGCGATTCTCGAGTTCCCGGGGCAATCAAATCACTCGTGGTAGGTGCGTAAAGACGCGACGTAGTCGCCGATAGAAGACGATAGCCGAAAGAGACTAAAAGTGATTTGACCTCGATATCGAATCGTGCTTCAGCCACACTCGGATAGGTTTTCTTGTCGGAATTATCAACTCCCGAAATAATTCGAAAGCAGTTCGCTCTAGCTGATATCCTCGAAACCAACACTCATCCCATCGGGCAATTTACAACATGCATGAGTTCCCGGAAATACCGATCTCCCGTTTTTCGGTGCCAGCCGAATGAGGAAATCGAGTCTCAGACTCATTCCAGATAGAAAAGAACAGGCATATGAATCCTTCTCTGGGTCTTGTCTTTTTGCTGCTCGTTGCAAGAGAGATTCAGCACGCTTTTGAAGTTACCGTCCGCGCAAGCCTCTTGGCGGTTTGATTCTGGCGGGCTGTCATGAACGTTCGTCCATGCTCCATGCCATTGGCTTGAGGCCTGCCTATGGCTAGCTGGCATGCAATAAGCGAGTGAGCGGGCAGGCAGGCAAGCCCGCCAGCATCACATACAACCAGCAAGCAGGCAGCCAACGAACGAAGCGAGCCAACCAAGCCAATGGCAGCAGCGGCGGCTCTATGTTCGGTTGCTGGCCGCCTGCCTGGCTTGAGTCGAGCAACTAAGCCGGCCAGTCGCTCACTCGGCAAGCACCCGACCGACCGACCGGCAGACCGGCCGGCCTCTATATCTCCATGTGTGTGTGTGTGAGCCGCAGCGTTCGTCGGCTGGCCAGGCGAGCAGCGAGCCAGCAAGCGAGCGAATGAGCCAGCCAGCGAGATGCCTGCCTGGCTGCCTCACTGTCCCTGTATCGGCCCATGGCTGTGTGCGGCGGCAGCGGCGGCTGCGGTGTGTGCTGCGCCATCGTTTCGCTTGCTGTCTATGCTGTAGCCTGCCTGGTTGGCTCTTGGGCCACTGGCTAGCTAACAAGCAAACCATCATACCGGCGAACGGCCGAGCGAACGGATCGACCACCGTCAGCACCGGGAACCCGTTTGCTTCATTTCTCCGAGAGTCCTGAGATTCCTACACAGTATGAAAATTACAGAATATATCGGAGTAAATTACCGGGGAATAATGGAGGTTCGAGCATGGCTCCGGGGCTGCTCGGAAGTTCCTGGAGTGTTTTCCTGGATTCATTCGCATGTATGAATTTTTTTCAATCCGAGTCCCTCCGTTCTAGGGATGCCCCGGACTAGGATTGATCGTCGAATCGAGGAGGAGTGCGAAATTCTCAGGCTCCCAACGAAAGCATTCGCCGTGCTCTCTGCGAAGGTCCAACGCCCGGCCGATGGAGGACCCCGTTCCGGAAGGCGCGCGCGAAACTCCCTCGATCAGGACGGCACACTGAGCCGCGCTTCGCGTCCGTGGTTTCAGAACCAGATCCGAGATTCGGTTGAATGGATAGAAATCGAAACCTTATGTTTTCGCAACTTGGGAAATCGTTTAATGTGTTCGGGGAAGGCTGCGTTGAGGGTGAAAGTCTAATGGGAATGACCTGTTGAAAATTCCGTGCGTCGATCAACTTGACGCGATTTCGCTTCCTGATGAGTGGTCGGAGCCCGGTATTCAGAGGTATCGTTTATTGACCATGTCCCCAGTGGACGGCGTTGACGACGGTCGAATGGAATTTATTCTTCGGCAGAGTCCGGGTTTGTGGTTGTTGTTGTTCCTGTCTCTGTTAATGCCAAACAGAACGAAAAGTGAGCGACCAGAAGATGTAGAACTGCTTCCTTCGTAGCCGCTGTCGACATCGGTTCGCTGATTT